TAAACTACTTTAGCACCTTTTAAAATTTTCTCCATTTCTAAGCAGTCTTTGTATTGTTAGAGTCTAACTGCTTTAATACTGAAAGCAGATTTATATGTTCTAGAGTGACCTTCTGCCCAAAGGCCATCTTGCATATATATTACTCTTTATTTTCTAATTGTCGCAAATGCTTTTAGTTTTCAGTAAAATGTGGGGAATATCTGTCACCACTGAACCACTGCTTCACTAAAGGACTGGAAGTGAGGAATGAAATCAGAGAAGCCAGAGGCTTTCCATAGTCAGAAGAAGAAATAAGGACATGGATGGAAGTTGGGAATGCCCTTCTGTTCACTGACACTTCCTAATAAAAAGGTGGCACGTGTTGCCTTTCCCAGTGCTAGCAGGATTCAGTTTTAGTATTTAATTTCCTTCAGATTATGTTCAAAGTGTGACTAATAGGTTTTCTGTATTCATGATCCTTTTTAATGTATTTTCTTTCAGACTGGTTTCTGTTGCTGGTTTAAACGTAAGCAGTTTATGGAGCACTCTTTATCTAGGCATGTCTTGTTATTAAGTCTCTTTATTAACATGTGCCATGCAACTCAGATGTTCTGATTTAATGGTTAGTGGTTAAACGTATGCTCACACAGCACTGTCATGAGTAAATGTCTATAAACAAATATTTCAAATGATATTGTAAATTAATTTTTTAATTAATGCGTTCTAAGTAAGCAGAAACAGTCAACTGGATTAAGGTGAAAAATCACTTTTGAAATAACTCTTTGAAATTAAAAACTTGCACTGTATCTTTTTGTGGTCTGGAAAAAGCATTGGAAAGCAGCTCAGTAGATGTGGAGGGAAAGGTAGGAGGGGAAGAAAATGACTATTTCTGTTACCACTATTATCTACATGAAAGTAATTTTTTTAACCAGATGAAGTAAATTCAGAACCTAAGTAAAGCATCATTAGCTCCACAATCTGCAATATTTATGGATATATCTGATATCTATTCTCAACATGTAGATAAATCAGTGGCTAGTATTTATAAAGGCCTAAATTTTTCAGCGCTTTGTAAATACAATGAAACTTGTTCTAAATGTCCTCTAACATGACAAAAATGAGAGAATCTACCAAAGGTGTTTCTTGTACAAAATATTTTTAAAGCACTTGGGAGCAGAACTAGTATTCCTAGTTTTTCTGCTGTATGGGAATATCTTCTGTAACTTGTTTTACTAAGATGTTCATGAAGATTGGGAACACAGAAGTGCGAATAGCTGCTTTAAATGATACACAATGCAATTTTAAGGAAGAATCTGGAATGGTGGAGGAGAACTAAATGTTATAATAATGGGAAAGCATAAGAAAGTACCACTCTCTTATTTATTAATTGATCAAGAGAAATTTGTCAAGCTGTGAATATTTCAACATGTCTGTAACCGTATGCAAAAGTCAGCACATGAAGGGGAAGTGCTATTGTGGAGAAATCAGAAACATTTTTCATTATTCTGGTATCTTTGGAAGTAAAAGTGCTAGTAAAATAAGCTACCTCAGGACCACCTTATTTCCATTAGTGGCACAGAAAATACAATTGAAATACTTCATGCAATTTGAGATCTTTCAAAAGAGAGATTTGAGCTTCTTTGGGACACTTAACTAACTGTTTTAGAAAAAGGTGTTCATATTTGAAAAAAAATAAGACTGTCTTTTACTATATATTTATAAAAATAAATTATTAGGTAATCAAAATTCATCAGAAAAACAAACTTCGGTTTTTGTACACAAGCTTCATATTTGGGACAGATTTTTTTCATTTTTATTTCTGTACTCAGAGGGAGACGTAATATTTTGTTATAAGTCACACACACAAAAAAGCAGCTGGGTATTCTTACTGTTTCAGTTTTTTCTCATTGAAGCCCATTTTGAAATTCTGTTTATTTTTAAGCTACTGTCTACAAATAATACATAACCCTATTTTTATCATTCTGTGGTCAGCACAATAGTGACTCACAGAATAGTCACTGTGCCTGATGTTGGTAATGAGCAAACAATGTCCAAAGTAATAAATGTTTGCAGGACAAGACTCTTGTATTACAACTTGTTTTGGATTTGCAGTACATATTCCATAAGAACTGGTCAGGAGAGCATATTTTATTTATTTTTTTTTTAGCAAATAATTCTCTTTATTATCAGGAGACTTCTAGAGTCAGGAAAAATAAAGCTATAATAGGAGAGAAGTAATTAAATTTTATCATTGCATAACTGATTGTAAGCTTTACCAGTAAAAGGTGTCCAAGAAAACTGAGGGACAATTATACTTTCTACACTTCTAGTTCATCATGTAAGAGATGTTTGTCTATCTGTGTATTTATCTTGCCCAACACAACCAAACGTTCATAATTTCTGCATTACTATTATGCTACTAGTAGTAGTATAATCAAAATGTTCCAACTATTTGTCGTAGCTCAGTTTTCCTACACTGCCAAGCGTAACGTGTAAGGCATGGGGGCATTTCTGCACCTGAAGCATGTATCTTTCATACAAATTTCAAATATCAACCCAACTCTGTGACAAATATGGCAGCTTTATGGATTTTTAGAGGTTGATACCACTGTCTCCAGAGTTTTTGTAAATAGTAAAAGGTAATGCCATCTGTGCACATGGTAGACAGAACTTCTTCAGTGAAACTGGCAGTCTTTCAAAACATTTCTATGACAAATAAACACTTGGAGAACCTGCATATTTGTGCTTCATGGAAGAGTGAGACCTGTAGAAACACTGGGAAAATCAGTTGTTTTGAAATTGAAAAACAAATCTGGATTCCTAAATAAGGAGGTGATGATAGCCTGGATGAATAGTGTCACATTAAATAAAGCCAAGAGGATAGCTGTGTGGTTCTTTTTTGGATGGTTTTTTTTTTTTGAACTTTGGGTTGTTTTTTTTTCTTTTGTGATGTGTCCTCAGAGGATTCCAATATTCCTCAAAGCAACATCAATTTGTTTGGATATCTGCACCATCCAGCAGGTCATTGTCAGTGACTTATGAATGTTCATCAAGAGTTTGCTTTTAATTCCTCTCCTGAGTTTACTGAGCAGAGAGAAGCACACCAAGTTGCAGAAGTGTGTCTGCAATGGCCACTGTGATCTAGCAATTATAAATTCAGCATTTTTTTGTTCTTTTTCTGGCAATATCACTTGCTTTGGTTTTCTCTCATCCAATTAGGGATACTCTGATTAAATAATGTCCTCTGAAAAAAATAAATTCCTGACTTAAACTCTTAAAAATTGCCCCATCTCCTACATAATCAAGATTTTGCCATTCCACTTTCATAAGGAGGCATCTTGAGTCTGTCACTTGTTTAAAGCAACTTCAGCTGCCATCCTGCACATTCAAAGTGTCTTTATTGAGTAATTCTGGTGTATTTTTGAATGAGGTATTCTCAGGAGTTGCACAATAGGTTCTGACTTAGCTCAGATGGGAGACAGCAAGTTAAATCCTTATTCCAGAGAAATGGGGTAGGAACTGAGATCTGCTGTCTCTTAAACAACTCCCAAAGTCACATGGGAGGGGGTTCACTCTTCATGATGTCAAAAGGCAAGATGGAGGACAGGCAAGAAGCCTAACTTTGGCTGCTTTGATTTCTGGTGACTGAACTACGGTTCTTTAATTGCTAAAAATACTGGAAGCATGAAAAGTAAGTCCGGAGTACCAACAGGCGAAATAGTACATTTTAAGGCAGATGTAAAATACTGCTTCCAGATGCGAGAGATGTGTTCAGATTCTCTCCAGTAAGGAAGATCTAACCTAAGTCATCAAGTCCTAGCTGGCTTTTCCAGTGAGTGTCTGATCTTTTGACAAGTTAAGGTGACTCAAATTGCTGCTTCCTCCTCTAAGCACTTGCTTTCTTTTGCTTTTTCACATCATCTCTGACTTTAGTATAGCATTGAATTAAATGTTTGTTTGCTTTTCCTTTCCATGAATAGTATAAATAAGTACACTGTGAGAGAAATAAAACTGAAGTTATTTTTAATTTTTTTTTGAGCTTGTCAGCTTTTATGCGCACCCTCTTTTTATAAGCTGGCAATTACACTTCTGTTGATGTAGAAATAACAACAATTGGATGGGGAAAAGAAATCATTTTGACCTTTATATACCTTCCATATATTAAAAACTTCACAGAATGAAAGTAGGGCTGACAAATTATAAGGAAAAATAATTATGGTATATAAAGTAATCGATTTCCTTATTTTTTTTGTTTGGAGGTAGTGAAGAAGGCTTGATAGGGTCTTGTAATTTCTTCATTTGTTAAAAGCCATTGTAAATGATTCCAATTTTGAGAAAAAATGTCAACCTCTTCTTTTGTGTTCTTTCCCTCTGCTTCCATTCCATTCAAAACCCACTTCAAGGTTTTTACTTCCTCTGCCAGGCAAAGTGCTCAGAATCCAAGGCTGTAAAGCAGGGATGCTTAGTTCTTCTTCTAGGGTAGTGTCAATTGCAGCTCTGGGAACCAGCCATTTCTGACATTAATCTCTGTAATGGTTATGCTCAAAATGGCTTGTGTCATCATGTCATCAACTTCATGTCAGAGAGACGTACTTCAAAACAGGTACCAGCGCTGAGCAAATTGGCTTGCAGTGACAAGCAAATAAGCAGAAAAATAATATCTTAATATCTCTCTGCTTTCTTTTCTGCTTTTCCATTTCATGATTTTTAGTCAAAATACATGTGTCTCTTACCTTTGACAGGATTGTATACTGCTGTGTAAAATACCACCTGATAGCAATTTATATCCTTGTGACTCACAGTGGAAGCCTTGTTATGTAGCAAAAGAAATGAAACATTATGAAAAAAATGGAATATGGTGTTACATTGGGTTTCTCCATAATATAGATTTTTTTTCTTAGGGTGTTTTTAAAAATGTCTTTGATTTTAAAGCTTGAAAGTTATATTCTTATGTAGCTTTCTGTTACTTTGGATTATATATACTACAATAAGTATATATTTATTGTTATATTTCTTCATAGATATTTCATTGATCATAACACAGAAGAAGATAGGTATTTCACCATTGATGCTAGTACTGGGACCATTAAGACTGCCAAGATCTTTGACAGAGAGGAGACACCTTGGTACAACATCACAGTGGCCGCTTCTGAGATAGGTAAATAATATATTTGGCACGTAGTATTAAATATAAAACTTAGAAAGGAAAATAATCATTTTCAGATTTTAAGAAACACCATCTTGAGATGTTATGGTCTTTTTAACGCTATTGGGTTTTTAGCCAGTCTGGGTAAAGGAGAGTTTTCTGTGTGTGTGTGTGAATACCCTAAATCCACAGACCAAGAAAACAAAATGCCACACGCCTATGTGATTCCACCTGTGTAAATTTACCATGTTTTTCTGTATGTAACAGAAGGCAGCCAGTTTACCTAGGAATTTGTGTTTCATAGTTCATATATCTTAGAAGTTAACACTTTATAGTACTGTCTGAGAAATTTGTCCTTCTTTCTCGTATCTACTGTTGAACTGTTTTAGCAAATTGGATGTTAAAATGCCTGTGTTAATTTATCAGGGTATACCTCTGGCCTTTTATTAGGCAAATTGCCAGGTAAAGATACAATAAATACTTACGTGTGCATTTGAAAGTCCCCTAATCTTGATGAATTTCCATTGTCTCAGATAAGCCTTGCAATAATCAAAAAATGTCTGCCTGAGTAGTCCCAGATAAATATTTTTACACGAGGCAAGGACAGTTTAAAGAACATTTCAGTTAACCTTTTCATTACGGGGTCTTTATTTTCTCACAGTCAAAGTTTTAAAGTTAAAAAACTCAATAAAGAAAATGAAGGAAAAAAATCCTAACCTGGATCAATAGATTCAGCCCTGCTAAACACTATTCATAATATCATTTTTCCTTTTTTTTTTTCTTTGTGTGTGTGTGTATTCCATCATTTCCATATAACAAAATGAAGGGTTTACTTTTAAGAGGTGCCACTGATATTTTTGAGCCTAGTCTTCTTTCATCTGTGCATTTCTGGGTTAAAATGTAATTTGTTCCACCACTAGATCACTAGCATATACACAGAATAAACAGCATGAACAAATTTTGTAAGGACAACAGATTGTTTCTAATTATTGTACCTACTTTCACAACTAAATTGACATTTTGAGCTAAGTACTTTTCTATAGTAAACAATAAAATCTAGAGTTTTGTGGTTAGCTGTTTGAAAAGGTAATCTCTGACACTTCTGTGTGCTTATCAGTGTCTTCATATATATAATGTGCTACTTCAGTGCAGCATGAAATAAAATATAATTTAAGCCTAATTATAAGCAGGTGAACAGTAAGTGCTAATTTGAAATAAGATTTGAAAACTACAGTGGGATACTGAAAAGAAGGAGTAGTCATGAGTCCTTTTTTGGAAGCCATCAAAATGTAATTATTTTGCAGAAATAAATCTCAATAGCATAAAACTTAAACGGAGCTTCCTACACATTTTTTATTTCACATAATCAAACGACTGGTGTTACATGTATCATGCTGAGAGAATAGTATGGAGAAATGAGGATTATGTTTATAACTAATACAGAATGGAATAAATAATAAGGATGATATGTCTTTTTTTAAAGACACTTAGAATTCTCTGTTCCAGGTGCAACTTGTTACAGGAAAATATAGATCTGATTTTTTTCTCCCTTGCATTGCCTTTGTTATTGATAAAGTTGGAGCTGGAAAAATAAGTAAATCTATAGTGTCAGCTGGGAAAACAATTCAGCAATGAAGAAAGGAAGAGATAGTATTGAAGAAGAGATGGATGACAGACAGACTGACATAACAGGCAGCCTTTTCTTGTGTCTGCTTCTTCGGCCATTTTCTTATTTGCAGCAATTTGAAAATTACAACACTGTTGTACTCTTCCAAATCCATTGTGAAATTAGTAATTGAATCTATGTGGAGCAAGAAGCATATGTTGTGCATGGCGCATCAATGCCAAAACTCTTACTTTAAATACTGTCTATCCCATATTTACAATCTTTTATGGCATTTGCTCTAAAGTCCATGCACAAGGTATTGCAGAACTAAGCCTAAAGCTGAAAAATAGGTGAAAGGCTATGACCAAGGTGTTATTTAGCTGCGGCAGTGGGAGTCTTCAAGTTTATCTGTCATGGTAGAAGGCATTTGTAGCTTCTGACACCATTTGCTTAGCCAGGAACACAGCAGAACCTGCAAGGCCCAGAAAGATTGTACTGCTTCAACAAGAGGTGCTCTGCAGAAATAAAGCATTGGCTGTAGTTAGTTTCTTGAAGTGTTTTCCTCTCTTGACTTTGTGCTACATTTCACTGATAGAATTCAGTTTCTACCTATCATCCTTTCAGCAGCTAGTTGTAGCTAGGCTTACTCTGCATAACTGAAATTTAGAATCAGCATCATATTTCTACCCTCAGATATATGATATCCTCATGCTATTCTTTCTGAACCTTCCATAAGACATTTATTTTCACTTTTCATCTCAGTATGTGATATACACTCTGCATTGGTTAAGTGTCCTCTCTGAAATCAGTGGAAGTTCTACCACTTTCCTCTGTGGGAGTAATGCTGATACAATAATCAATGGGTTTTTTTTGTTTATGCTGCTACTTCTTAAAGCACACCAGAGTTCCTTACTATAAGAATGGATGGGCAATCCTTTATTTCTTTAACATGCATTGTTCTTAAATAGCAGTATACAGTGAGGAAGAGTGGGATTTTGATGTCCAGAAGCTCTTGCTTTGATTGTTTCAGTACTGGTACTTCCTGTAACCTACTTACGGTATTAGAGAATAAGATAATAAAGGAATACTGTATTTTATATTGTAAGATCTACAGACTATGTCTGGGGTGGGGGAAGGAGGAGTAGTAGTAGTATTTTAAAATACAGTTTCACATAGAATTATTCACTGGCTTTTCATTGGCTTTTTAGAATTCTTTGGAAAAAATTATATAAGTCTATTTGAAAGAGGGAGGAGATAGAATTTGCTTGGCTCTAGTAAAGGTTTTTGAACAAGTCTTTGACAAGAGTAATGAAAATAGGAAAATATAAGAGATGAAAGACTTGTTTAGAGGAAAGAAATACAGTCATAGTAAATGGCTGTTCCTTTGAAAGTGGAAGAAGTTAAGGCTGAGCTATTTTAGGGATTGGTGTAGGATCTGTCAGTTAGAATTCTTTGTAATGATGTTACTCAATGATAGGGAGTGATTCAAATTCCAAAATAACCTCCCTAGATGGTAAGAATTAAGGAAGATGGAAAGAGATTCTTTTAAGAATCATAGAAGTGTAGACTAGATAAACAAAGATTGACATGGATTGAAAATTGTCTGAAATGGCAGGTTCAAAGGGCTGTGACGAGCAGCTGAAGGCCCGTCACTAGGAAGTACTCCCAGTGCCTGATACAGGATACAATACTGTTTAATCTCTTCATTAATGGCCTCATTGGTGGAACAGAGTGCACTCTCAGCCAGTTTGTATATGACACTTGCCTTAAGAGACTGCAGAAAAAAACCCCGCCAGGCCAATTTAGTGTAAAAGATAAAGAGAGTAGGTTCTTTAACCAACCTACAGGCCGGGGGAATACACATGATGCGCGCCCACCCCGACAGTGGTTCTATGATTCTATAATAAGGTCCATCCAGTCCCAGATTTATCCACCCTGCGGTTCTGCCCAGTTCTGCTCCCCGACATGCCCCTTCAGGAATTGGGTTTGGGGTCTTTGGGACCTCTTCTTCCTCATCTTCATCTTCTTCACAACACATATAGTCCTTGGAGCTCCTCCAAAGTTCTGGGCTTGAAGGTAGCTGTGTCTGTGTGATATCTTCTGATCCAGGCTTTTCTACAATTCTACCTTGAAAAGAAGACCAAATACACTAATAGAATTTAGAGGGATTGATATGAAATGGGATAATAGGATTGGGTATGTGTAAATGTTGTGCTAGAGCATAAGGGATATAATACAGCTGCATTAAAATCTACATTTACTACACAACTACTTCTAAAATCTAAAAAAGTTAAAAAGTCCAAAAAGCTCTGAGACATCAACACAAAACTGGAGTAATCTCTAATTCACCAGTCCGTTGTGGTGCCAATCAGAAGGGTCTCAACAGGCTGGAGAAATGGGTGAACAGGAAATCTCGTGAAGTTTAATAACAGGAAATGCAAAGTCCAGCATCTGGAGAGGAATAATCCTGTGCACCAGTCCGCATGCAGTGCCAACTCTATGTAGAACAGCTTTTGAAAGAAGGGCATGGAGGTCCTGGTGAATGAAGGCTGAACGTGAGCCAGCAATATGCCCTTGTGGCAGAAAAGGCCAATGGCATTCTGCACTGTGTGAGAAAGAGTGTTGTCAGCAGGTCGAGAGAGGTGATCTTTCCCCTCTGTACAGCACTGATGATTCCATGTGTGGAATTCTGGGTCCCAATCTGGGCTCCCCAGTACAAAACAGACATGGATATACTGGACTACGTCCAGTGAAGGGGCATGAAATCATTAAACACTGGACTATCTCTCATAAGAGGAGAGGCTGAAAAAGCTGGGTCTGTTCATCTTGGAGATGAGAAGGCTCAGAAGGATAAGTGTGTTTAAATAACTATTAATCAACATGAGGAAGGACTTATCTGAGTAGTATCCAGCGAAATGACTGGAGGCAATAAATTGAAATACAGAAAATTCCATTTCAATGAAATAAGAAAAATGGTTTTACTGTGGCATTGGTCAGAAATTGGGACAGGTCACCCAGAGAAGTTGTGGATTCTACGTTCTTGGAAATATTCAAAACTCGACTGGACAGCCCAGAGCAATGTATACTAGTTGATCTGGCTTTGAACAGGGGACTTGGACTTGCTGATCTGTGGAGATGCCTTCCAAATCCAATGATTCTATGATTTTCTGATATTGGGAACTATGTTTTGAATGTGGAAAAGACAACAAATTGTGACGTATTCTCAAAAGAAACAGGTGATTTTAAAAATAATTGTAGGTGATTCCATTAAGGTTTCTTTCAAGCATATATTAGTGCTGATAACAAAAGCAAAATCAACAATAGCAGCAAAACCCCAAATCACAGCAATTGCAAGAGAAAGGGGCACTAAATGCAAATGGATGGACTTTAGCCAGTTCCAAAGCCA